TTCGTGATGAATGTGTGATTCCTGACCACGTCTTGCGTCCATTTCTACAATGGAAGCGCTCTGACCCTCGTTGGCGAATTTGCCATACAAGTAAACCACTGGAAGCGGCTCCCGTTCTGGTAGAGGAGGCTCATTGGATAGCGGCAGATAAAATGTTTATTGTGTTGTACCTTTTGACTATAGTTTTAAGATGTATTGTATAGTGAACAAGAATCCTCGGCTCTGTAAAGTTAATTCGGTTGAGCCTTATCAAATAAATTAATAATAATAAAAAAACAAAAATTCAGAGTGTAGATTATAAACAGTCATCATCTGACTTATCGATCTATATTTCGCGTAGCTAGTGCGATGGTGTTCTACCGCGAACAAATCTCGCGTAGCACTTGAAAATGGCCTATCCTCGTTGATCGATTCTCTTCATCGACCTTCTCTTTGGTTTACCACGGCAACATAAACAAATCTCTCGCTAAGCTCTCAGCATAGTTCGACAGAAGATGATGTTAGCTTGCGCCTGAAACAACACACTGAATGGGAAATTCATTTGCAGTCCGGTTAATCGCGAAAGAGAAAATCGATGAAGAGAATCGATCAACAAAATAGGCCTTTTTTTGCGCGAGAAATTTCGATTACGCTATTGACGAGAAGGTACGTACAAATTAAGTCTGTGTTGGAAAGCGATATTGTTCACGGAAGAGACCATAGCATAATCCTGACGCTCTTTTAATGCCTGAATGTTGATCAACAAGCAACGTGATTCATAAGATGGCAGAGGAAATGCTAGGATAGAGCATTCATTCCCGATGTCCTTTGTCTCGGTGTATCTTCCGTGTGGAAAAATACCAGATCGTAGAAACCAACTATCAAATATACTCCAGAGCGTCGAGGGCCCATCCTGGTACTAGGGGACATGAACGGCCACCATCTCGCTTGGGGCAGCCCAATTACAAATACCAGAGGCTCCACTCTGATGGAAGTGGCCAGAAAACTGGATCTTGTCGTTCTCAATGATGGAGGCACCACATATACCAGTGGTCAGTGAGCAACATCTATAGATGTGTCCCTTGCTAGCGCCAACATAATCAGCAGACTCCTATGGAGCACCGAGGAAGATCCCATGGGTAGTGATCATCACCCGGTGGTAATTCGACTTGACGATCAGCCACGAGACATCTCACGTAGACCACGTTGGAGGTATGAGTTGGCTAACTGGTCACTTTTCCAGGAGACTATTAGAGTTAATTTTACCAACTCGACACCGGAAAATATCCACGATTTCATCAGCTCTGTCTACCAAGTGGCAACCACATCAATCCCGCGGACAAGTCCCAACCCGGGAACCAGGTCGTTACCATGGTGGTCTCCTGAGACAAAAGCTGCTGTTAAGGCCAGAAGGAAGGCTTTAAGGGCAGCTAAGCGACTACCCGCGGACCACCCCTTGAAGGAAGCGGCACAAACTGCATACAGAGCTAAACGGAACGAGTGTAGACAGACCATCCGTACCACCAAAAGCTTGAGCTGGGAGAATTTCCTCGACGGTATTAACGCTGGACAGACGGCCTCTGACCTATGGGGTAAAGTCAACGCGTTGAGTGATAAGCGAAAGTACCGTGGCATGGCTATTCGAATAGACGGCTTAATAACCAGAGACCCCGACAAAATTGCACATGCTATGGGGGAGTACTTTGCAACTCTTTCGGCTCTTGAAAGATATGATGACAAATGTGCTTATAATCACATCTGTCCGATGAACCACCATTTACTCCGCTCTCCAATCAGCATCGATGAAAGGATTATGCCCTTCAAGAGGTCTATCCGCATCCTCGGCCTACGACTCGATAGGCATCTAAACTTTGTCGACCACTTTAATGAGGTGAAAAAGAGCTGCCAAACGAGGATTGACTTACTCCGAACACTGGCCAAAAGACACTTAATGAACAACCGTGCCATTCGTATGCGTGTAGCAAAAGCGGTAGTTGATTCCAGACTGACCTACGGTTTAGAACTGACTTGCCTGGCTGCTGATAGGCTGACTTCCAAACTGGCTCCAGTGTATTATCAGGCCATTAGGGTCACATCAGGTCTCCTCCCATCCACCGCCAGGTTGGCAGCCTGCGTGGAGATTGGAAGGCTGCCTTTTGAAAATTACATTGTTGCATCTGTTTGCAAGAAAGCAATTGGCTTTGCAGAAAAGACTACAGGGACAAGTAACGGAGTGTCCGAACGATCTCCTGAATAATACCATCAACCTGGAGCTCCCCCCTGTAGCCAGGGTCCACTGTTGGAGCCAGAGGTTGGAACTCACCCGGTCTGTCCATCGACCCGGCGATAAAGAACAGTTTCCGGGCGGGAACCAACTCCCTTGCGCTAGTGAGAACAGTAGCCGAATTACATCGAACCAATTACAACAATCATCAAGTACGATACACCGACGGATCCCGAAGTGGCGGTAGAGTTGGTATTGGAATTTCCGATCCGGAGCTGTGCACCTTTTACCGACTACCAGACCCATGCAGCGTTTTCACTGCTGAAGCAGCCGCCATTCTCGTAGCTGTCACCCTACCCTCGAGCAAACCGATCGTCATATTCTCCGACTCTGCCAGTGTTTTAGCAGCTCTTCAGTCTGAAACAGCTAAACACCCCTGGATCCAGGGTATCCAGCAGTTCGCACCTAAGCAAACAACCTTTGTCTGGGTCCCCGGACACTGTGGGATCAGAGGTAATGAGGAAGCCGACCACCTGGCGGTATCCGAAAGACAGTCCAACTTTTACACCAGAAAGGTTCCGGCCCAGGACATAAAGCGGTGGATCACAATCACTATATGGAACTGCTGGACTAACGAATGGATGCGATCTCGAGACTTATTTATCCGGAAGGTAAAAGCGGATACCAGGAAATGGGAGGATCCACCTGAACACCGACTTCAAGTAATTCTATCCCGGTTGAGAACCAGCCATACCAAAGTCTCCCACAACATGGAAGGCGGAGGCGGATTCAGCCGACAGTGCGATACGTCCAATGTTCCACTTACAGTGGAGCATTTCTTATGCGAATGCCCCCAGTACCACGGACCCCGTTTCCTTTAGGGGATCTCAGGTAGCTTCAGGGATACCCTGAGATTCCCCCAGCATCGCTGCACTATTCTGCTTCCTTCAAGAGGCAGGTCTGATTAACCAAATTTGATCCATGAACACCCAAGCAACGACAACGGACAATGATTCGGACTCAAAACTATACCTCGGCAACAAATACTGACTCGGACACGGATGAACGAAGATATTGAACCAAGCAAAGCACGTACAATGACACGGAAATGGACGAATAACGGCACTAAAATTAAACACAGCGACTACAAAGGAACAGGACACGAAACTTGACCACGATTATTCAAAAGGATAGTAACATCGGTAGCATTAAAGTAAAATCCTCAACTCTGAAATGGAGACTCCCTTCTAGAGCTTCCGCCCATCTCCTAACTCCGTATCCTCGGGGTTCTCTTCTGGAACTTCAGCTCCCCTTCGTATTAGCTCTGTAATTGGGGGGACTCCCGTCTGAAGTCCCCACCCCTCGTTTTTAAGAGATGAACCAGCCTAAGGCTGAAAATTTCTCTAATAATGCAAAAAAATCCCAATTTACGTAGTGCATATAGTAAAAACTGCTTTTGGATTCGAAACCACAACGCTTTATAAAATTAAACGTATTGCCTGCTCTATAGATTTGCCTGCTGTCGTATATATTTGTCCCATTGGAAATGGGGGATAGGAAATAGGGAACAGATTCCTTGATTTGTTTTCCGTGCTGAACACCGATGCTACCGACGCCAGGGAGGCAGCTCCCACACCTGCACCCTACCTATCGACCCATCAACTCAAGAACCAGGGACCAACGGCTTTACTTCCCATTCGAAGGAAGGCGTGATCAGAGATATTATGCCTTGGAACATCCCGGTCGGTGTGACTAGGATTGAACCCAGGCCTGCTGGGGTGAGAGGTAATCACGCTTACCACTACACCACCGGCACCGCTAGGGAATAGCAAATGGTCAATTGGAAAGGAAGAATTGTAAATTGAATTGGAAAAGGAAATCTCACTAGAAACTGATCGATCTAGAAATCTAATGGAGATTGTAATGGAGTTGATGAAACAATCTAAATGTAAATCTCGCCTATTCGCTTGCTGAACTAAGTATCCATTTCAATCTTCGGTCCGCTGATAATGACTATTTTATCACTCGACAAACATCATAGAGAAGCGAATTCAAACGGAAGGAATAAGCTAACAAACTGTTAAATTCTACTTCCACTCCAACAAGTAGATTACTTTAACACAACCGGCACGACGCAATTCACTTCACTCAAAATTTCGAACATCGCACGCATCACCAACGAATGAAAATTTCAAAGGGGCTGCGGAGACGTGCTGGGACGAGACAAGAGTGATGAAATTTAATTTGTTTCAATATTTACGATGAAAAGGCAGAAAATTATGCTTCAACCATTTCCGACGTCGTCAGTCCTTGCTGCCTCTTTTTTTCCGATTGAGTGTACACATATATCACCCACGTCACATGTGGAAACGTATCTTGGATTCCCAAGAGAGGAAAAGCTTCCGGAGATATGAATGGTTACACACGAAATGATCAATCGTTATCGTTGAATGTGGAAATGTGAAAATATGAGCAGAACGCACTGATAATCGTGTGGATTAATGTCCTCAGGTGGATTCGAAATGTTCAGCATGCCATCACTTCGCCAGGAATATTCTTGATAAAAAATGTGTTTGCTACTCAAAAACCGTAAAGGAACATCACAAAACAACTGAAGTTCCAATTAGCGAATTCATCACAAAAGCGCAAAATTACAACCAACGAACAACAACCTTCATTCATTTTCATATTTTCCCCTCATGCACACAAGATCGCGGACCTACACAACTTCAATTTCAAAAAACCTAATTTAAGCCTCTGCCAGAACAACTAACACCCCTTTCAGAGTAATACTTACCGGACGTGCTCAGACCGGGACTGGCGGTGAACTTTGCAACGTCAACGATTTTCACTGCAAACTGCTGGTTGGACTCCCGATGGATGCACCGGCGGACTATCGAGAAGGGACCCCTGGAAGAGAAAAAAATAAAAGGAGATAAATATACGAGTGAAAATAAAGTGCCTTCTCAATTAGTTGGGAAACTTTCTGCAGCGAGCTTCCGAGATGCAGTGTATTTATACAATTATAGAACTATGCACATAGACACATTCAAAAGGAAGGTAGCAGACCTGCAGACTGCTGCTGCTGGAATGGTGGAATTTTAATCTTATTATACGTCAACTATGCACTGCACGGAAATGCATTCTGAGAGGGTACTAGCAGCAGCAGCAACAAGGTGGTTCAGCTACATTTTGCAACGGTGGGCAAGTACAGGGTTTGGGGATGCTGTTTTTTTTTCTGTACAGAAGTTAATAATTATCTGGGCTGTCGTACCCTCGGAGAAGGAAAACGAAGAGTTTCGCGTAATGAAAAATGTGCTTTTGTTTTAATGAATTGCACTGCACGAATCGTCTGCAAAACAATACAGTTGAGATGTAATTTATGAAACGAGAATGCTGTACTTTATAGCCCCTAGTACAACGAACGTTTGGGGATAAAAAAAAAAGATGAATTGGTCAACATTTGACACATTTAAATCTACAGATTAGCTGTGCTCTACCACATAGTCATTGGCAGCGTTGCCAGGTCATTTTCAGAAAAATCTGGACCAGTTGAAATATATAATCTGGAAAAATCTGGAATGCTCCAAAAAATCCTGTTTTTAACATAATGCTATTGAAATCAAAGTGATGTGCCAATCTCCCGTAAAACCCAGTCAACATAATCATCTGGAATTTATTTAAAGTACTAGAATGGCTATGAACTACATGTTTAAATAAATTATATAAAGCAAATAACTTGTTAGCATTGCTAAATCATCAAAAATTTGAAAAGTATTGACACAGTGTGCCCAAAAAGTTTAAATATCCATTTCGCAGCAGTTCAAAATTGAACTAAATGTGGGTAAAATATTTCAGAAAATATGTTTCGAAATGTTTTTTAAACTGTAACTGCTTTAAAAAGAATGAGAAGCAAAGAATTAAGCAAATTTGATGGTATGGATTTTTGAACTAATAGTCGATGTAATCCTTACTACTTAATGCAGTACCAGAATATAAAGATTTTTTTAGTTCTAAATAATTCTAGTATTACCCTGAGGTTGATCAGATTTACAATTTATTTTTTGACATCATACAACACACAACACCCAATAGACAAGTAGGCAATTTTATTTTGAAGCAAAATTCACCTGGCTGAAGCCGGAATCAAAACTTAACATCGTGGTACTCACACAAATTTTACCTAAACTACGGGTAGCTCCACTATTCGTGCATGACCTGTTGGCAATTGCCAACGATTCGGGAAATTCCGAAATAATAATCCCGGAAATAAAACGACCGGTACTGAGGTGTTACTATCCGGTTGATTATTATTTTCCTGTAAATATAATTGGTTTTAACATGTTGTGATGTTTACATTTGTTTCAGACAAAACGGTCCGTGTTTGTACCTTATGTTATAAATGTTTTATGTTCAAGTGTTCGGTGTTTGCTCATCATATTTCCAATCATGCATGAACTTACGTTTAGTCCATTTTTATGTGTTTCGTGTCCGTCAGCATAGACAGTTCTAGCTCTGGTCCTAATCGTCTACTTTCGACTGTCTGGCAAATTTGTTCGTGCAATCACAACATTTTCCCGTACTATTCAACCGTACTATAATATAATAAGTCAGGCGTATTTTACATAAATTAAGGGGGTTTAACTTACACTCGTTGCAATTTGTAGGTTTAGTTTTAACGGGGAATTCACTTTGTAGGAATTAATCACTCAGTAAATAAAGTTATTTTAGGAATAATTCAATTTCAATCCATGTATGTTTTACCTAATAAATTCAATAGTATAAATAGTAGCTCTTTTATTTTAATTGGTAGAACTTGAACACTATTATTAAAAAATAAATGCAACATGATGCTCTGATTGATGAACTTTTCTACTTTCAATGTTATCTACTTTTCCTCTACCTTGTTTGTTCACTATGTTTATCTTTAGTTTTCTACCCACTCACCACTACTGACGTGAAGATGTTCAGACCGGTGCGCATTGGGTTGGTTGCACCAGAGACGTTAAATAGAGACACGCATAGACTGAAGCAAGAAGAACCAAACGAACCATCAAACGCTGAACCAAACGAGCAAAGTAAATAAACATTACTGTTCGCTCAATTCACCAGAAAGGAGTATTGTTCTCTATGATGATAAAAGTGTTTAGTTTTTTTCACGAAATATTTGATATCTGTTATTTATTTATTTGTTGATGATTTAATCAAATACAACATTTATAAGTGATAAAAATCTATTTCGAATCGGAACGTTTTATTTAGTGTTATGGTAATAAAAATGATGGCGCTGCAAGCAAAACAGTAAAATATGACAAAAGTTATGTCATGGAGCGACGACTTGCATCTCTCGTCTTCGCTTTATTTTTGCAAAATGTTGCCGCGCTCTTAATTTTTAGTCAGTTCCGGTCGAACGTTCAAATTTTCTGAACAACATTGCGGCACTGTATGAAAGTCATTTGAAACCACTCGAAGAAACATGGTTGCCAGTGACATTGCCAAAAGGTCCCTCAAAAACCGTGCTGCTGTTTTGACATAAATTTTCTTTGCGCGTCTCTATCAACGTCTCTGGGTTGCACGAGGGTCGAAACCGAGCTGCAGTCGACTTACAGTAGCGGCGCGTTGGCGTGGACTCGCCAACATGACCATTACGAATAATTTTATGCCAAAGAATAATTTTATTATATTACTAAAATGAAAGCCAGATAGCGTAATTTTTAAAGTCTCAGGATCTTGAAATGATTATAAATTCTGTTAGTATGAATTTTCTTGAAACTCTTTATAGGATATCTTCGGTCTTTTTTCTAGTTCCATTGGAATTATCCAGGATGTCATCATCTTATTTTCTGGATTCCCCCAAAATAATCTTGATAATATGCAAACTTTTCCAGTAACATTCTAAGAGTTCATAGTATTAAAATATTCTTAATAATTAACTTGATGCACTCTTCAGAATGACCGTCACACTCTTCTCAGACCCATCCGATAATTCCATTTGAACTGATTCGTAGGTAAGGTCAGAATTATTTTGAAATCCTCTTCAGTATTTCCTAAGTACTCAAGTACTTTACCAAAATGGCCTTGAAAGTCTCCCAGAAATTGCGCATAATTCCGTTAAAATGTCTTCAAATTTTATTAAAATTAATCTTCATAGAAACATTAAACATAATTCCATTGAAATTATTCTCACGATTCGTATCAGCATACTCCTTAAGTTTCAGTATAAAAAATGTCTATGATTTGTCTTCCTGATTGTATACTGACACTGAATATTAAATAGAATAAATGACGGCTTCGGCAATACCTCAACCCAGTGATGTCATTTCATCCAAATGCGGCTCTAGCGTACGTATATTTTGCCTCCTCTGAGGATGTATCCATTGCAACTCATGCGAGCAAATCACCACGTTTACGGTAAGAGCACGACAATCCATGTGTGAGAGAGTGCTTATTGAGAACTTCTGTGGTGAAAACTAAAACCACTCTCTCTAGATAAATGAATTTAATGTGCTCTCGAGTTCACTCACCTAAAAGCTCTCGGGGGTTTACCTCTCGAGAGACTTCACTGCAGAGCCCACTCTCCAGAGCATAGGTTTGAGCGCTTTTGAAGCATTATTTTGGTGCAAGCATATTGCACAAAATGGACCTACTACATATGAGACACAAACCAATCCCACCAAGGCGGTCATTCTCTAAACAGGCCTGATAGGACTAGGAGCTGTAATTATTAATAATTGTAATTTCTAAGAATTAAAATTGAAAAGACGCATCTGTGTCACTTGATAAATCTACATAAATGCAAGAAATAAAGATCAGTTTAAGTCAAGTAAGTTACTACATATGAGCGTTTCGCGTCGTGCGTAGGGTTACCATATGTTACCAAATTGATTCCTGGTCTGCCAGAAATAATTCTGGTACAATAGCAGGTTTCTTTGAACATTTTCTATCTGTCAAATTTAAGTTGAAATTCACCAACGGGGGCCACACAGATTGAATCCAACATTTGTTTGATTTTGACGTTCTGGTTCTATGGGATTTTAGGTATTTCAAGCATAACTATTCAAGTCAACGTATCTGATTTTGTAAACAATCACTTCAATCGACGATTTGTAGTAACTGCAAGCTCACTAGCTAGTTTCCCTTACCTGCTGATGGTGTTTGTTTGCGTGGGTGAGTTAGCAGTTAAGACAAATCGTCGATTGAAGAGATTGTTTACAGAAGCAGATACGTCGATTTGAATAGTTACGCTTGATTTGTTTCGGCCGCTGCCATACTGAGAGCAATGAGGCACGCGAAGCGTGAAATCGAATGTAAGGGATAATATCAATAATAAGAATTCTTTTGTATAGAACGCTAAGCGCGCCTCTTCGCTCTCACTATGGCAGCGGCCATAGTGGTAAAATTAACAGGCTGCTTAGATGTTCCATGTTGGTTTCAATCAGCGATTACATATATCCTGATTTTTTTTTTTTTTTATTAATTACTTTATTTGTACAGGCTCAATCGAATAAACTTTACAGAGCCGAGTTATCATTTTCGTTATACATTATTGATGTCTTATATTATATATAAGTTAAAGGAGCTGGACCGGATACTCGCGGTTGTCTCGAGGTTAGTGGAGATTTACAATTTTTTTGGATGGGAAAAGGGAGAGGGAGGTTTGAAATGTGGTTTTCGATACAAATATTTAATTAATCCTAAAACATGAACTAATTTCTATTCATCTTGAAAACAAACATTAAAAAAAAATCTACACGCACAATACACAAACTAAACACAAGGTTAATAAAACTTACAATCTAAGGTTAGTATTTTTAAAGTAAACATATATGAGTTTCATAAACTCCAGATCACGTCTAGCCAAAATATCCCGAACTGGAACATTAGGTTGTCTACCTCGAGCCCGAAGGGAA